TCAGGCAACAACGTGTGCCCCAAACCGTCGTTCTTTTCAAGGTACGTTTTTGGCTTATTTAGGGTATTACATAGATAACTTTGATTTTCATTTTATGTAGGTACATTTTTTCTTATAACATTAATTATATATAAAAATATTTTAGCTTTTTTATTTATATAATACGAAGTTCTTATATATTATTTATTTTCTCTCATAACATTAACTTACAATTTATTATTATTGGGTTTATATAATTATAACACATTTTTGCAATTCTAGTAAATTTTAATTTTGTTAGTAGTTGTACTTTTGAATACTTAATATTTATATATAAAAAAGTAAGGTTTAATGTTTTTATAACATTTAATATTATTTACATTTTAAACTTATATAAATGTATAATACAAATATTTATGCCAAAGTGTTGATACAAATAATTAGAATTTAAGAATTCGAATTTATAAGGTCAAGTTTGAGTTTTGCCACCGTCACTCTTGATGAGTAATATGTAAATCCACACTTGGCCTAAAATTTTAAGTACCAACATAATACACATATTTACAATAAATGATGACCTAAAAATTAAAGGGTAAACTACACGAGAGACCACCAAACTATGGTCAATAATCAATCTGACCACCAAACTTTTTAATTGATTCAATCAGACCACTCTCCGTTAAAAAAATAATGACGCATCTGACGTGGTTGTTATAAACTAACGGCGACATACACCAAAGGTTTTTATATTATTATTAATGTCAGCTGAGAAGACACATGGGTTATTTCACACAAAACCCATTCGATTTCAAACCATTTTCATTACCCTCGTTTTTTCACACAAAACCCATTCGGTTTCAAACCATTTTCATTACCCTAGTCTGAAAATCAAACTGGTTTAGAGAGATTCAGAGAGCTTTAGAGAGATTCTGAGAAATAAAGATCTTTTCTTTCTTGGGGTTTAGGGGAACCACTTGTTGTTGGTTGATCGAAAGATTCTGAAAGTAAAAAAAATTTTATTTTTTGGGTTTTTGGGTTTAGGGTAAATACTCGTTTGATCGAAAAATACTTCTGCTGAAAATTAACAATGGGTAGCATATATCATTGCGAGGAAGAAGACTCAAACGCGAGATATGGTAAGCGCTAAAAAAGTCTTTAGGGGTTTCTTCCGTTTAAAAAAATATTTTTGAAACTACTAAAAATAAATTTGAAAACTCTTATACAAAAAAATTTTACGATTTTCTTATGTTAAAAACCCTAAGTTTATATTTAGGACTTTCTTCTGCTTACTGTTTAGTGGTTTCTCATATTAAATTGCTATATATGTTAGGGAGTTTATATGGGTTTACTGTTAGTATATATGGTTTTACTGCTTACTGATTGCACGAATGAGAAATAGTATATATGAGTTTATATGGCTTTTCTTATGCTTACTGCTTACTGATTGCACGAATGGGTTTACTGTTAGTATATATGGGTTTACTGCTAAATATGTTAGGGAGATTAATATATATGTTTATTAATGATATGTTTATTGATAGAATATATGTTCCAATAGAATAATTTGTTTTATAGAATATATGTTCATTTGGATAATTTATGTTTATTGATAGAATATATGTTGTGATAGAATTATTTGTTTGCATGAATAGATATGTTTTGCATGAAGTCAATGAATATATGTACTGCATGTATATGTTCTGCATGAATATATGTGTTTAGTGAATTTTAGTATGTTGACTTTATTATGTTGGGTGTCCACATAATTAATATCACTTTTGCACTTTTGTAGTTATATTTTCACATATTATATTTTTCTATTTATATCACTTTTGCAGTGCACATGTACAAACATGTAACTTTGCAATTGTTGTGGTCCCCACATGTTATATGTTATTATTAGTATAGTATTTTGAATGTGATCCCCACATGTTATGTGTTTGAATCTATTATTTGAAAAGTTAATTTTTTGTCTCTTTTGATATATTGTTAGTATATTCAGTTGTAGTTAAATATTCATTAATTATTTGAATAATAATGAAAATTTTTCATTAACAGATTTGAATTCTGGAAAATTTAAAACTGTAGTACATCATGGGTTTTTTTTTTGTTTTGTTAAGAGACCAAGGCTGGAATACACTGGCATACTAGTGGACTACTTTGATAACTGTGATGCTGATGAAATTTCCATCTTTGCAATTATTGATATGATAACCAAATTAGGAATTAGTTATTCTCTTAAGATATTTTGGCAAGTGTCAAATAATCCACTAGAGGTTAAACCACTCTTAATTGATAGTGATATCCTTGAAATGCTTAGGGATTTACCTAGTGACCATAACATTCAAATTTATTTGGAAGGCATTGAAAGACTTAATGAACATAATCAACATTGGTCTGAACATAATGAACCTGAAATTGATGAACCAGAACCAGTTGAGCCAGAAATTAGTGAACCCGAAATTAATGAACCAGAACCAGCTGAGCCAGAAATTAATGAACCAGAACCAATTGAGCCAGAAATTAATGAACCCAAAATTGATGAACCAGAACCAGTTGAGCCAGAAATTAATGAACCTGGAATTAATGAACCAGAACCTGATGAGGTGAGGATAGATTCTAAGTATGAAGCCCCACATATAAGTAGTGATGAATCTGAGTTTTCTAGTAGTGATAATGACTTTGAAAATTCAGAAGTTGAATTATATGATTTGAATATTGGGGTGAAAAGTGATGAAATAAGGGTTGTTAGTGACTTTGAATATGGAAATTCTGACTCATTATACAGTGCAGATGAATCAGATGGTGATGGTCCACATAGGAAGCCTAGACACCTTAAATTTAATACTGCCATAGATATTTTAAACCCTAAATTAAAGGTTAGAATGATCTTTGCTAACAAGATAATATTAAGGGAGGCAATCAGAATGTATGTAATTAAAAATAGGTATAATGTGAAGTTTAGAACAAATGTGAAGTTTAGAACAAATGACAACACAAGAATCCAAATAAGATGTAAGGCATGTTGTCCTTGGGTTTTATGGGTCTCTTCAATTACCCCTAAAGATCAGTGATGGTACTTGGCAAATTAAGTCACTGAATTGTGAACATACATGTCTTAAGGGGTTTGAAAATGCTAATATAACTGCTGAGTGGATAGCAAAACAATATTTACAAGCATTCCATGTTCATCCCAATTATTCTATTAAATCCCTTAAGCAAGCTATGCATAATGATTATGGCATCATGGTCTCTACATATAAGTGTTCTAGAGCTAAGTGGATAGCCCTTGAAAAACTGCATAGTAACCACACAGAACAGTACACCAAATTGTATAATTACCTATGTGAGCTTAGGTACACAAATCCAGACACAACCACTGTTTGTCAGTTGGATGAGAGAGTTTTCAAGAGGGTTTATATTTGTATGCAAGCAATGAATGATGGGTTAAAATCAGGGTGTAGGCCGATTATATGTTTGGATGGGTTTCACTTAAAGGGATATTATGGGGGTCATCTACTAGCCGCTGTTGGAGTTGATGCATATGACTCTATTTATCCATTAGCCTTTGCAGTTGTAGAGAGTGAGAATCAATCATTATGGTTCTGGTTTTTAGAATTACTGGATAATGATTTGGAGTTGAATAATTCTCACATATTGACATTCATGACTGATAGATAGAAGGTATTTATTCCCATACTTTTAAAATTCTGTTTATTTTAAATCATGCTAATTTTAATTTCTAATCTTTTATTTTAGTGTGTGTAGGGGCTGATAGAAGATGTGGCAGAATTGTACCCCAATGCAGAACATAGAACATGCGTGAGGCACTTATATTCAAATTTTAAGACCAATGGTCATCACAAGGGGAAAATATTGAAGGACCAACTGTGGATGGTTGTTAGGGCAACATATGTTAAGAAGTTTGAATCTGCCATGGAAAGAATGAAGGTATATATATTTTTGGTAAACTTGTTATTTTACATGTGTTCATGTTGATGAAGATTATAATAAAAATAATTTTTTTCATGCAGCTTTTATCAAGGACAATACACAAGTGATTGTCAGAGAAGGATCCTAAATAGTTGTAAAAGTCACACTTCTCTTTCAGAGCCAAGTAAGACATGTTGTTAAACAATTTTTGCGAGTTTTTCAATAAGGTGAATAAGACAAACCAAGTCATACAACTTTTAAAATATTGTTATTATGTAATCTAAGATGTTTTTTTTTTCATTTTGTGATTAGTTGATAATTGAAGCTAGAGACAAACCAATTATTACATTGTTGGAGTCCATTAGAATAATGTTAATGCAAAGACTTGCAAAAAAAGGATCAAGCTAATAAGTTTGTTGGGTCTCTATGTCCTAAAATTTAGAAGAAACTATGCAATACAATATCACAAGAAAATAAGTATAACTTTTTATATTTTTGGCATTTGTTTTGATTGCATATTGGTAATGCTTATGTATGATTTGGTTAACTTGCTAATACATATTCTTCATGCATAGTGTTATTACATATTGTTACTACATAATATTATTACATATTGTTCATGCATACTGTTATTACATATTGTTCATGCCTACTGTTATTGCATATTAAAATAATTGAATATTGTTATTGCATACTGTTATCGTGTTAATGTTTATATATATTTTTCTTGTATAGTTGTTGGCCCATTCATGCTGGTGGACCAACATACCAAGTTTCATGTGATCCTTCAAATCAACATTGTGTCAACATTGAAACTAGAACTTGATCATGTAGAAAATGGGAACTAACAGGTAACTTAATGTTTTATTAATATAATGTTAATTTATTCTTTTCTTTATTTTTATAATAACTAATTGTTTTTTAATATAGGCATTCCTTATATACATGCAATTTATGTCATAGTCATGAATCATGAAAACCCAGAAAACTTTCTCAACCAATGCTACTTAGTGAAAACCCAAATAGACATATACTCATATTTTATTAACCCGGTAAGAGGTTCTAATTAGTGGAATCCTATTGAAACAATGGAGCCTATATTACCACCTACCTTGAGAAGGCCCCCGGGAAGACCACACAAGAACATAAGAAGGTAGGCTGATGAAGCACCACCTTATACTCGTACGGTGACAAAGAGGGGAGTTAAAATATTATATAGAAAGTGTGGGGGTTCTGGACATAATGTCAGAACATGCAAGGGTCAGGTTGGTCGCAATACAAGGCCCTTCCAACAAACATATGCTGCAAGAAGATCAAAACTGTCAGTAAGTTACACTTGAGACATTTGTATTGTAGTTGAATTTCTTATTGATTACATTTGTTTTTTTATTGAGTTTGCTTTTTATTGCATTTATTTTAGCTTGCATTTGTTATTGATTGTATTTGTTTTTTTATTACAGTTTAGAAGATTAAATGAAGTTGTCATACAAAATAAAACAAGCAGTTCAAGGTCACAACAACCTGCGCGGGTCCATACTGTTTGATGGATTCCCACTCCCATTGTGCCATTGAGTTAGGATGGTTGTGTCAGTCAATCTTCTCCCCATCAACAAGCTCCAACACCAAATCAAGTTGCGATGCAAAATCAAAGAACTAGTCCAAGGGAACAATCAGCTTCACAAGGCTATACTATTAGATAGATGCTCACCCCTACTATCCACATTAGGCAGCATACTTTTTCCAACCAGTCATCTCCAAAGAGGCATAAAAGTGATACTTCTGGCAGCCAGTCATCTCCACAATCATAGACCTTTTGTTTGATATTTTGAGTAGTGTATTTAACCATACACATTATAGTGTTTTGATCAGCTGACATTGTCAGGTTTTGTGTTGATAGCTGAAAAGAGCTTATGTATGTTCAAACAATTGATCTCTAGATGTTTTTTTTTTTTTTTGCTTATGTGTATTGGTCAAACATTCGATGTATGCCATTTATTGTCTTCAAAATGAATTCAATGACATTTTTTGTTTGTTTTCTTTCCTTATATTTGAAGCATTTCCTTAAGACAAATATAACTCACAAATTTAACATTTCATTTCATTAATACTTAAAGCATAACACTGAAAATAACATATTACATATATTGCATCTTCATTTTTAACACAAGTCTTGCATCTTCATTTCTAACACAAATCTATTAACACATACAATGTAGTTAACAACACATAGCATAATATTACCCTAAATCACTCCCACAAAGAAGACAAAGAAAGAAGACTTAATCAAGTGATTATAATTCCCAGTATCACTCCCACAAAGAAAACAAGAAGAGAAGTCAACATCCAAGAAATTTTACGTTTATTTTGTTCCTCCTCCATAGCTCCAATCTTTCTTAGAAGACCAACAATAATAACTTTTGACCGATAAGTTACTGGTGGATCGTACCAGCAAAAAAAACTTACAAACCCGAGTCTATTTTCTATAATTTCCACAACCCCAAAATTTCATAACAGGATTTTTATCGGTTCATCCTGTTGTTAGCGTCGAACGAACTCCACATAAGCACAATTGATTCTCATTTTCTTCATTCATGTTTCGAAACAGTCTTCTATTCTTCTTCCTTCACTCTTTGTTTCTTATATTTTCAGCACATATGTTAGGGTTTTTAGAATGAGGAAACATTTGAATTTAAGAGTTTGAGAGCCATTAAATGGTTTTTTTCTTATGTGACAGTCTGACGTGGCGTGGTATGTGTCCAACCTGGAAACAATAAGCTTATTGAGCAGCCACATCGGACGTGCCATTATTTTTTAACGGAGAGTGGTCTGATTGAATCAATTAAAAAGTTTGGTGGTCTGATTGATTCAAAAAAAGTTCGGTGGTCATATTGATTATTGACCATATTGGTGGTCTCCTGTGTAGTTTACCCAAAATTAAAATGTAATTATACCGTTCTTGTCATACATGTCTAAGTAATTATGTTATTTTTTATTTTTTTCCTAATTTTATTTTATTTAATATGCATAATCCCGCTATACAATAAAAATAACTTTAAAATATTATTTTATTTAACAATATGCATATTTTTATATTTTATATTATTAAAAGTGTTAATATATTTTTATGTTATATTTCATATTATTTATTTTTAACATAATTAATTTTTATAATTATTTTTAACTCAAAAAATTTTAACAATCTATTTTAAATTATTTATCCAAAAAATAACATACAATGCTAACATTTTAAAAATTAACCATTTAAAATACTAATATTTTTAAAAATCAAAATTTTTACTTAAAATTTTTGAAATTGAATCAACCATATATGAGTCCTAATTATAATGATTTCTACCTATTAATTGTAATTATTTAAATATAAATATTAGATTTAAAATATTTAAAAAAATAAGAAAAATAGACAAATGATCAAATAGTGAACACCTTTGAAAATAATAAGGGTAAGTACATAAATGGTTCCTCTAGTATAGGGTACTACTTTATTAAGTCACATGATTATTAAAAATTATAAAATGATCACCGTCTATTCATTATGTTTCAAACTCATTCCTTTTCGTTGAGCTAAACGTTAACCCGCTGCCCGTGATATGAAAAAAATCTGATGCAGAATCTTAAACGACTATCATATTCCAATCATCATATTAACGTTCAACTTCAACATCCGCTAATTTTTTAACAAGAAAAGATGAGTTTGGAACATAATAAATAGTCAGATGACCATTTTGTAAGTTTTAATAGTCGAATGACTTAATAAAGTAACATTTTATAGTAAAAGGATCATTTTATAATTTTTAATGGTCAGTGGACTTAATATAATAATATCTTATAGTTTGTGGATCATTTTTGTACTTTATCCAAATAATAAACCATGTTTAGGAACAGTTCTAACTTTCAGTCTCTCTCAAACAGAGTCAAATAAAATAAAGAAAAAGAAAATCATTGAAAAAAAAAACTGGTATCATCCCTTCATTACTCATCCTTTCCTCTTTTCGTTGTTGATATTTTTCCCTCTATCTAACTCCACCAAGGCTTATTCATCTTCCTTTAACTTCTCTGTAAGTACCAAATCTCTCTTTCTTTTATGCCCTTCTTTAATGCTTCTTTTTCTTTTTAAAGAAAAAACTGATAGATTTTCAGAATTGGTCTTCCATTCTTTTAATCGATTTTCTTTCTATGTAACTCTTTCTAGGGCTCCATCATGCCAGGTTTCCAGATCGCGGAAAATGTTTTGGCGTTCAGCTTCATGGTCCGCTTCCCAGACGAATGGCCAAATTCCATTAACTGAGGACAGAGATCTAGGAGAAGTCCCAAAGGTAATGATGGTACTAATAATAATGGACAAACTCGCCGGTTTCCTCCTCCTCCTTTACCTCCACGTTCCCAACAGAATTGTAAGGCCAGGTCCTGTTTGCCACCTTTGCAGCCACTGTCGATTGCACGGAGTAGTTTGTATGAGTGGCCGAAAGCTAGTTCTGATGACCTTGGTGAGTGGCCACAGCCGCCTACCCCAAGTGAGAACAAGATTGGTGAGAGGTTGAAGCTTGATTTATCACCAATTCAGTGGAATAATGAAAAGAATGGTGGGCTTCTAAAGAGGGACAAGATTGCTTTCTTCGATAAAGAATGCTCGAAAGTGCAGAGCATATTTATCTCGGCGGAGATGCCGTTGCAAAGGACAGGGAAATACTCAAAACGAATGGTATCACTCATGTTTTAAATTGTGTTGGCTTTGTTTGTCCAGAATATTTCAAGGCTGATTTTGTGTACAGAACTTTGTGGTTGCAAGATAGTCCATCAGAGGATATTACTAGCAAACTTTATGATGTTTTTGATTATTTTGAGGATGTTAAGGAACTGGGTGGAAGAACTTTTGTTCATTGCTGCCAGGGTGTATCGATGTCCACATCATTGGTGATAGCATATCTTATGTGGAGAGAGGGACAGAGTTTCGATGATGCCTTTGAGTATGTAAAAGCTGCAGGAGGAATTGCTGATCCGAATATGGGTTTTGCTTGCCAGTTGTTACAGTGCCAAAAGAGGGTCCACGCTTTCCTGTTGAGCCCTAGTTCCTTATTGAGGATGTATAGAATTGCAGCTCACTCACCTTATGATCCTTTGCACCTCGTCCCTAAAATGCTAAATGATCCGTCTCCTTTGGGTCTGGATTCTCGAGGTGCATTTATTGTTCATATACCTTCTGCAATATATATTTGGATTGGCAAAAACTGTGAATCTATCATGGAAAGGGATGCACGAGTAGCTGTTTGTCAGATTGTTAGATATGAGAGAGTGCAGGGACCGATAACAGTTATAAAGGAAGGAGAAGAACTTCTTCACACCATAAATCTAATAGCATGGAAATTGGCAGTGTCGATCGCACTTCTCAACCTTGTTCTCAATCCGCTTCATCCCCCTTGCAAAAGGTTTCACCTTCTCTTGCTGAACGCCGAGGCAGTTTGTCAAAGTCTCTCAAGCTGCTGGTGGTGAGTGATAATGTAAGAAACAGAAATGAGCAGTCATGCTTTCTAACCAAGAAATATGGGATCCAGATAAAAAAAAAATTGTTCATCATGTGAATCAGATATTGAAATTATCTTTGACTTAAAGCGTGGTGGTGGAAATGGTGTGGATATTTTGATTCAAGATTCCAGTTTGAAGATATCTCCTGGTAGACCAGCTAATGCTGCTGATTCACGTGATATGAACTCTGCTTTTGTTAAAACTTGTGAAAGTCCAGAAAATCTTCCTCGGGATGGTCTTGCGTCTCCTGTTCCAAACAGAATGGAGGAAAGTATTTTTGCTTGCCCTGGTGTACTTCAGCCTTTAGTATGCCACTGGCCCAGTATAGAGTAGATGACAAAATTTAGTAGAATTGAACTAGATTCAAAGTCCGCTTTTGCAATTTTTTCTCCGACTACAGCCATAGGCAAAAATGAAGATATGATTCTATATTTTTGGATAGGAAGGTCTTTTCAACAGGAGAAAAGCTCGATTCAGTTAGATAGCAGCAGAATGATGAGGGACAGAGAGGATATTGACTGGGACCAAGTTGGTTATGATGTTCTAACTCAAGTGGATCTGCCAAAGGATTCTGTGAAGGTGATTAACGTTTTTGAAGTTATGGACTTTATATTATTTACTTCTTTTTCATGTCCATTCACGGGTTATGGTATATATTCTATGGCATGTTTGCTTCTGATTTAAGATCTTGATTAAGATTTAAGCCCTAACAACTGTATATCAATGTTTAAAAATATGCAACCACAAGATGTTTCAGAAATATCATTGCATAATTCCTAATCCTATTTTGATAGAACTTAAGGCTATTAAGAAAGGGTTATCCTTCTTTGCTTCTATTCAGCAGAGTTTTAAGGATAGGTTATTAGTTGAATCAGACATTAAATTAGCAGTAGAATGGGTCAAGAATATCGACCGCTGTCCCTATGTGTACTTAGACATTGTGACAGCTATTGTCGATATGATTAGTGGTTTGAATGGGAGTATTAGATGGGTTGCTAGGTCAGCCAATGTTGAGGCTGATAGATTGGCTAAGGCTGGTATTGGATAGATACGATGTTTTCGTTAGGTTGGTTGGGTTATCTGTTAGGCTTTGGGTAGGTTATTTGTAAGAGAGATTGTATGGTTGTTTTTAAGTTTTGTAATTTGTGGTTATCAATGAATTATTTAGGCACTCTTTTCCCCCTTCCGCTGATTAAGGAGCACATTGTGATCCTAAATCATGAAGGAGGGTTTTAACGAGGCCTACCATTCCTATCAAAAAAAATTTAACTAAATATGCTGTGCTACTTATTAGATTATTTTCAATCAAGCATAAGACCGACGTTATGGATTCTTCTTTAGGTATCTATTCACTTTTTAAATTAAATGTTCTTGCTATGCTTATATGCTAGAGTAGAATTTTGTTTGAGAATTTCACCACCATTATAAAAACTGGCACAGAGGTTGTATTGAGATTGGACTTCTGCTTCCAGGTTGAACTGGGGGGTTTAAATTATAAAAATCATTAATAACTAAGAAAGTTGCATTTAGTTTAATGTTAATATCTTTCATAAGTTTAAATCTCATTAATTTACGAATAAAGTAAAAAAGAGAGTGTGTACCTCTATAAAAGAGATTCGTAAGATTTGTCTGTGATTTCTCTTTTGCGACATTCTATTTGATTTTTATAAGTTCCTTTGTATTCAGCCGAAGAAGAGATGTGAATCAACTCTTTTACCTTTTATCCTTCTAATGTTGACCTTGATTATTTACTATGAGCAAAGAAGATGAGGAACCAACAGAGTTTCTCATGTTGCTGAAGATGATGTAGATTTGCTTGAATCAAGGATAGATCAACAAGCTGAGACGGTTCATAGATTCTCTTTTGTTTCTTCAAATGGTTTATTTTTGTTGCGGAATTTCAGGCATCAAGTAGTTCCCATGGCAAAATAAACAAGGTCAGTAACATTTTTTTTCTGTCATTTCTCATTTGAGTGTTTTATTCAAGCAAGACATATATACCTGGGTGCCAAATTTGCCCCGACTCTTTTTATTGAAATATCTCTGTTTGACACTCTTGTCTGGATATGAGGACATGATCCTCCAAGTACTCTCCAAATACTTGGAAATCTTGGAAAATCCGACACATTGGAATTTGAGTAACATAATTAGGAACTGTAGTTGGGTAGCAGCATTTTATGGATTGGTATGGTTAAGCTATGCACCAGCCTACAACCACTGTTGCATGCAAGGATTTTTAGAGATTCAAAATCATATTTCAACTAGGTTAGATTATTTGCTGATAGGCCACAACTGATTTTCTCTGTTTTGCTACTTCCTGTTGTTGTGAGTTTTATCAAAGAGCTGAATTTTTCCACAAGCATCCCGTTTTTAACATAAAAGAATGAATGATTACCTATGCGAAACAAGTTTGATTGTGCCAGGATGGTCGTTCACATGTTTCTTTTCCGTAATTCTCATTACTTTGGATGTCATTCAGCCGGTAAAGTTCACTTCCAGTTGGTTGTTTTTAGTTCATAAGACTTCAGTTATAGAACATGAAGACAATGATTAAGATATTAGTTGAAACATGTTATCTCTGAAACCATGCTTTAGAGATTGGAGCTCAAAGGAGGGGGAATTAAAAATTAGTTGATTTGAAATCAATGGATGCAAAAGCATGTTACTTTGACCCAATTTTTCATTGATTTCAAATCAACTTTTGGAGTCAAATGCACTTTTGGTACTAAAAGCAATAGAGAACAAGGTTTAAAAATTTAACTTTCGTAATAAAAAGAACTTTTCAAACCAGTTTTTAGAAAAGCTAAAAAACAACAACTTTTGGATATAAAATTATCAAAATATTATTTAGATACCATTTAACTTATTTTTTATTTACTTTCTGATATCATGTTTAAAATGACATTTTAACTTCTCTGGGCATTTTTTCAATAGCAATGTCAAATGCTTTAATTCAACAGACTACACTTTCACATCACTTTTTTTTTCTTTTTTTCTTTGAACGTTTTAAAATCAAACGACAATGGAGAACTGATCCTTAGAACCTTAAGGACATATGCCTAGTTGTTCGTTACTTTTCAAAAGTGCTTTTGGTAACATAAGCAATGAAGAACAGAATTTTGAGATGACAAGTGCTTTACAAACTAGTTTTTTTGTCCAAACGTAAAGGTTAAAAAATGCTTTTGGATATAAAATTATTAAAACTCTCTCAACTTAGTTTAAAGTAGTCATTTGAATTTTCCACAACACCTTTTGACAGCAATGCGGAACACTTAAATTAACAAATCACACTTTTTCACATCATCTTTTCTACATGTTTTTGAATTTTTTTTAATGCAATAGCAATAAATGTTTTCCTTTGTCGAGATTTGCCTTGTGACCACCATCATTTTTGTGTTTTGGCTCAATGCAATGTTTGATAAGCATTTGCAGACTTTTCATATTTGAAAGCGGGTTCTGGACTTTTTACATTTTATGTTCTGGTTAAAATGATTACTTGCATGCAGCTACATTAGGAAATTTACGCTCGTATGTTTTCCTTGTCATCATGAATTTACAGTGTGATTCGATGTTTACAGATAACTACCATGTTGGAATTCACCAGGTTGTACAGCATCATAACAACATTGTAATCGGTAATCAATTGTTTCGATAGACAGTTATTGTATATTCAGTTTTATGAGAGTCAAATTCTGAAAATCTTAGCTATCCAGGCTCAATAGATTCACTGTAATCTCGCTTCTGCCTGCAACGATGTTTCTTTTTCGGAATTTGAGTACTCACATCTACTCTTTATGGAAAATGTTGGATTCAATCTAGTTTGCTTTATATGTATCTGCACATTGCAAGTCCAGGGAAGTTTGGTATTGATCCTTGTTCAAGATTGCAAAATGGAGCTGTGAATCTTGAAAGGAAGAGGCTATTTCAGTCAAAAAACAAATTCTTCAGTTGGCACTGACTGATATAATTACAAAACAATTCTCCGTTTTCGGTATAATGTTCCCATCGCTTCTTCACAATTCAATAACCATATTCTCATACACCTTTTTCCTCTTCCCTTTGTTTTGCTAACCTTGTTCCCTTTTTTTTTTAGTATTTTAGTTATACTAGTGTTACAATTTTTATTAAAACAAACCATGTTGGATGGAATCGTTAGTTGACTAATGAACACATTGCTTACATGTCATGTGACATGTAAATAAAACAAAACAGAAAATAAAGTGAAATATCACATTAATAATATGTGTTGATCGTTAATTAATTAACGGTTTTTATCTAATATAGAATGTTCCAATTTTTATCAAATACAGTATGTTTCAATTGTTATCTAATATAGTATGTTTCAATCAAAAATTAAAAAGCTGAAGGTTAAAATATTAAAAGAGAAGGAACAAATTAGAAATTAAAATATTAAAAGTTAAAATGTTAAAAGAAATAATAAAATGATCATCTATACAAATGTTAAGGGTAATTTTGTAATTATACCCTTTAAATTTAAGAATTACATTATGTGAAAAATACAAAACAAAAAATCACGTTGATTTTTTTTTATAAAAGCAAGAGAATCTGAAAGCTATTAAGCTTAAATTTTCAATTAACCCTTTTTTTTATAAAATTTTTAATTAATCTTAAACAATGTTTATTTATCGTATCAATATTTCAATTACTAATAAAAATGATGTCCTACGCTTTTTTAATCTAAGAAGTAAATATAAAATTTTAATTCTCCATCAAATTATTTCTCATTAATTTGTTCTATAGGATTTCCTTTTATATTTTTCATTTACTTTAAGGATTTTAAATTATTACACAGTTAACACTAATGTGGTTGGTTAAGTTTGTTGGCTGCATCAAGGGTGAATTTAGTGGATGCGGTGAGTGCTTTGAAAAAATTGAAAACTAAAATGCATTTAGGATAAATGAACATAAAATTATTGTTTAAGGACTTATTTAATGTTTTAGTAATAATTTAGGGATAAAAATAAATATTAACCTTCTTGCTAACGTTGCTATGCCATCAATTTAACAAGGATGACGGTGGAGTGACCATTTTGTTATAAATCGATAACGTTAATGATCAATTTGTTGCTTTTGAAATTTTAGTGGGAAAATAAATATGTACTCTAACATTAGTGACCATTTTGTTACAAATAGATAATGTTAGTGATTAATTTGCTACTTTTGAAACTTTAGTGGAAAAATGAAAACTTACTTAAACATTAGTGATTAATTTGTTACTTTTGAAAATGTAGTGAAAAAAAAATACTTAAAAATTAGGGATCATTTTGTTATAAATTGATAAAGTTAATGATTAATTTGTTACTTTTTCAACTTATGTACAAAAACCAAAATTTATTTAAATATTAGTGACCTGATGTGTAGTTTACTCTTTAAATTTTTATTCAGTAAAATGATATTCGAATACGAGATAGTTGATAGTCGTAATTTGCAAACGCGGGGGGGAGGGGGGGGAATGCGCGCGAATGGCATCCTTCATCATCCTCTCGCGATGGAAGATGAATCCTATAAAACATTTGATTGTCTTCATCAAGATTCAATCTTCCTTCTTCAATGGCAAGGCATGGAGTCACAACTCTTATTCCCGTTTTCATTCCGTTAGGAAATAACCTGTTTTGGTACGTCGGAGATCTTCCGCCGTCTCAAGGGACTGGAGTGTTCATCCCTAATTATCATGGAGGAGGAGCTCAGGGTGGCGGCCAAGGCAATACACAACGCATCGGCCGAGCTATAGGCACACCGGAGCAAGAAATAGACGAAGAGGAAGGAGCTTGGCTCATTGGAATTGAGCTTTACAACCACATTAATTTCAACACATGATCCATGTTTCCATTTTATGAGTGTACTCTGTAGATTAGGACTTCGATCACTTGCTTGTGTTGTTCAGTTATTTGTAGATTTCCCTGTATTTTGTTATATGTATGGAAAAAGTGTTGGTATTTTTGTTTATTTGCCTTTCTCCTACATCTCTGGTTTTGGATTCTACCTTTAAAATTCTACTTTTATTGACGGTGGGGAATTTCTTGTTTGGTTGATCAGAAAATTGAAAGGAAAAAAAAAGATGATTAAAATATGGGAGCTAATATGATATCCAAATGTAAATTTGGAAATCGAGGGCTGGCCCAATCGCGCTAATGTAGGTGCACAACTCTTTCAAGTATCGCTCGAGAATAATACCTTGACACCAAAAAGGATCAGAACAGCCTACAAACTCGAGACTAAACTAAAAGTGAATATGCATAAATAAAATGAACTGAACTCAAAGAAATATTTCAAGGCTAAACCACATCAATTGTCACTAGTGTTTGAATAAGTTTTAGTTTTCCCAGTAAAGTTTTAAAAGTAACATATTGGTCAATAACATTATCGATTTGTATAAAAATGGTCACTCAACCGTCATCCCCATTAAATTGATGACGTTGTAACACCCTAATCCAATCTAACCCGAAATCATTCTTAATATGAAACAAATTTTAAAAAATAGTATCATATTTTTATTAATTTTTTATAATAAATTAAAAAAATATAAAATAAAATAAGGTAAACTACGTATTTAGTACTTAAATTATCAGTTTTGATTCATTTTAATACCTAAACTTTTATTTTTTTTAAAATCATTCCTAATGTTTGGTTTTCATTTCATTTTAGTACTCGTCGTTAAAAACTTAATGTGTTTCATTCTTAAACTCTCGGTTTTTATTTGTTTTAACACCTAAAATTCCAATTTTTTAAAACTTAATGTTAAATTTTGAATGAGGTACTAAAATGAAACAAAAAACTAAAGTTTTTAACCGAGTGTACTAAAATGAAACAAAAATTAAACTTTAGGTTTAGTTTTGAAAAAAAATTAAAAGTTTAGATACTAAAACATATCAAAACTAATAATTTAAGTACTAAACGTATAATTTACCTAATAAAATAAAAGTGTCCATAAATTTATTAAGATGTCACTTGTCATCATTGAATTTTATGTTAACGTTAATAAACTATTATTCCCATAAAATTCTAATTAAATATTTATTTCCTAAAATTTTAAAAAAATCAATTGAATCTATTTAATTTTTTTTCCCAAGTTCCTACAATCAATTCATTAAATCTATTTCTTGATTTTTCATATCAATGAATTTTTTTATTGAAGTTAATTATTTTTTCAAAACTCAATAAGAGGAAATTTTTTTTTAAGAATAATTAATATATTTCTTTTCTCTTCCATGTTTCAAAATTCTTCTAGAAAATATTATTCTTATTTTTTTAATTTATCATATTTATCACACACACAAAGTCATAATTGTTTATCTAATTGTGGTGCTTCAATCATATTGAAGAGTGTTCTTAGAATTATAATTAGATCATGTTTTTAAATTATTTCTTTTGAATTTTATATATTGTATGTTTAAATATATTTTTTGACATTTTTTATATTTTAAAGAATATATTATTTTTTTAATTTAATAAAAATTTAAAAAAAAATTATATTATATATTTCTTAAATTATTTATATGAGGGGTCTATTTTTTTATTTTCGCCCGAGTCAAAAAATAGTCAGGACCAACTCTAATTACATAGTATAACATTATAAATAATTATATTTAAATATAAACAAAACTTAAATAAATATATTAAATTTAATTCAAATTTTATAAACTTAATTTAAATAAATTCAAATTTTATAAACTTAATTTAAATAAATTCAAATTAAATTTAAATAATAAAATAATAGTCATAAATTTATTTATTTTTTCACAATTCTATAGAATTTTATATATATATGTAACAAAACCCTAACACCCCCCCCCCAGTTGTTTCTCATGGCTCTCACTTCCATTCTCCGGAGAACAGCTACCACTCTTCCATCTTCATGGCCTTGAGCCATACCTTCCATTCCCACCAATCCACTCCAAACCGTTTTTACCCAAACACCCTTCATTTCTCAGCGTCTGTTGATTCTCGGAAAACCGCTTCTGATGAGTCTCTTCTCCAAGTTATCGAGTCGGAGATTTAGTGTGCTGAGGAGAGTGATGAATATAATCAGGTGACTAATTATTTATCTTTCCATTTAGGGATTTTATGAGAGTAACAATTTGTTGAATCTTTGGGTGTTATACTAGAAAAATATGATCAGAGTGAAAATGGTTTCTGAACATATTAATAAATGATCTATTTCACCAAAATTTGCTGTAAATTAGAATCTGAGTTTTCTTAAAAAGTTTTAGTTTTTTGTTTTTAATTCTTTTTTAAATGATGATTGGTTGAGACTTTGGATTGTTTTCCGGGGTAAAACAATAATTAGATCTCATTTTAGTCATTTGCAATTTAGGAGATCAATGACATGATAGTCATGATGTTAATTTTTCAAGCTGAAAGTAATTTTTTTCTCTTCATTTTGTATTGTTTGTGCTAATTTCTTTCATTATATGTTCACAGGTTGAAGAAACTCCAAGTGGATTCCCTTTCGAAATCGAAGACAGTCCTGGACATCAAACCATAACAGTGACAAGGGTATATGATGGTGAACTCGTCAAAGTTAATGTTTACATGCCGGATCTCGTCTCGGGTGAAGGCGAAACCGATGACCGAAACGATGATGAAGATGACTCTGAAAAGCTCAGTAGATCAAGCATCCTATTGGTTGTTAGTATCTCAAAGAGTGGTGGTCTGAATTTGGAGTTCGGTTGTACTGCATACCCCGATGAGATTGCCAATGATAGTTTGTCTGTTCGAAATCCCGACTCTGAGGACTAACTTGCCTATGAAGGCCTTGATTTCTAGTAAGCTTATTGGATAGATATCGGAATTGGTATTTTTATTGTTTCGTTTGCTATAACTTATGTTTTCGGTTGTGTTTTGCAGTGATTTGGATGAGAACTTGCAGAAGGCTTTCCACAAGTATTTGGAGATCCTGGGAATCAAACCG